CGCGGGCTCAGTCGCTTCAGCCCGATTTCCCGCAGCCGAGCGAGATGAGAGAGATCTCCGCGGGCGCACGCGAACCGGACTCGTCCTGGCGCTGTAGTGAGAACTGCCGCCGCTGGAGAAACAACAAGGCTAGAGGCACGTCCGCACGCTGAGCCGGCGCCGCTGCTAATGCCGCTCCAGCCGTGGCCGCCGCTTTTCTAGAACCTTCCCTCCCACCGACGCGTCCCTAAGTCAGGGCGCTGCGTGAACGCCCTAACTGCCGCCAATGGCGGGAAGCCTCCACGCCCTCCTTACGCCGAAGGTGTACTCCGCCCTCCTCCCGGCGTCAGTGGCGTAAGCCGAGTTTCGTGAATTAAGGAAGGCTCGGGGCGCGCAGGCGCAGTTCCCTCGCTGGAACCGGGTTCAGCCCCAGCCTGAGGGCAGGGCAGGTGAGAAACGGTCCGCCCTTGGAGACTAAAGCTGTGGGGTGAAGCTGGATCCACAGCCCAGGGGCCCCCTCCCTCAGCACAGCCTTGGACAGTGCTCCCTCCTGTCCTGCTGCCCCCGGGGAAATCTCGAAATTCAACATTTTTTTAAAAATATATTTTATTGATTTTTTTACAGAGAGGAAAGGAGAGAGATAGAGAGTTAGAAACATCGATGAGAGAGAAACATCGATCAGCCGCCTCCTGCACATCTCCCACTGGGGATGTGCCCGCAACCCAGGCACATGCCCTTGACCGGAATCGAACCTGGGACCTTTCAGTCCGCAGGCCGACGCTCTATCCACTGAGCCAAACCGGTCCTGGCGAAATTCAACATTTTTAAGTGTAAAAATATCTATGCTGTTTAACACCTTCAGCAAATTTGACATATGAAGCTTTGAAGCTTGTCAATACAACAAAATAGCATACATATCAGATCGCATATATATCAACATAGGTGTAACTTCATCTATTGAAAAAAATCCGCATTATTAACTGGTACACCTAGTAAAGGAAAGGACTTTGCTTGCTCACTTCTCACTGTACACCTGCAACCAGTCCAGGGACCAACGGGTAACAAACACCCAATTGCTTTTGATGAATTAGGAAGAAATAAATGGTGAACAAATGAGTGAATGATTCCAAATCTCTTCAGAGGCTGAAACCTGGCTGCCAAGTCCTTGGAATTCTGGCCACATGGGAAAGGCTCCCTGTCACTCCAGGGGTTGAGACCCATGTCTCAGAACCTTTGCTGTTCTCTAGAGAAATAGTCCTTCCTGCCCTGGCTGGTTTTTAACTCAGTGAACAGAGCATTGGCTTGTGGTTTTGCTCAAGCCAATGGACAGGGCATGTTCCTTGGTTGCAGGCCCGATCCCTGGCCCCAGTTGGGGCGCGTGCAGGAGGTAACCAATCGATCTGTCTCTCTCGCATTGATGTTTCTCGCTCTCTGTCTCTCTCCCTCCCTTCTACTCGCTCTAAAAATCAATGGGAAAAATATCCTCGGGTGAGGATTAACAACAACAAAATGAAGGGAGAGAAAGAGAGAGAGAGAGAGAGAATAATCTTTCCTGCTATTGGTCTTTGGCTCTTACGTATTAATAATACTTTTCACATATGAAATATTTTAAATTCCTTTCAAGTTTCTCTTATAACCACCAAACACAAATGGTCCACAAGGGCCAGAATGTCAGTAAGTCCATGCTCCCCTCTTGCTGTCCATCACCCCTTCTGCATCTGCATCTGCAAGGTTCTCCCCTGCCCTCAGCAGAGGGAGAATGACTTTAATGACCAAGGGCAGAGCATATGGTTCTGCTGCCACAATCAGATCCCCTGTCCCTTCACTCCTTTCTGGCTCATTCCTTGGGCTCTGCTCTATCATTTATTGGCTCACTGGCTCATGTCAGTCACACTCACCTGGGAAGGCCTGACCCAGCTCTTGGCCTCGGGGCCTGAGTAGTCAACTGACCACCAGCTTGCTCTTGTTTTCCATGTTATTTCTGCTCCAACCCCAGTCTCTAGGATGCCCTGGGAAACTGTGCCTCATAGAAACACACTTCAGCTGGGTGATGGAGGCCTGAGCAGCTAGAAGAAATGGCCCCTGGTCAGACAGGCAGTCAGCTGGTCAGTGAAGAACCAGGTGAAGTGCAGGGTGGTCTCTAGCTTCCCATCCTGTGTCTTTCCATGATCACGATAGTTAATTGACACATGAGAAAGTCTGTACTTTTCCTCAGATATAGAGTTGGAGGCCTTACATTCTCTGAGTACTCAGATCCCCATGTGTTTATCTTGTGACATACCAGCCTGCTTTGCACTCCCCCCCGCCCCCCGCCCCCGCTTTACTCTTATGGGGACTTAAGCGGCTGAGAGTGGAGAGGTCCAACTCTGATGCCTTTGGAGGAAACAAAGGTACCACACAGAGCAGTGATCTCTTTGTTACCTGAACAGCAGTTACCCACACCCAACATCACTACCAACAACTTCAACCCCAAGAGTTTTGATTTGTGTTTTCCTAGTGATAGTGATGTTGAGCGTCTTTTCCTGGGCTTATTGGCCAGTTGTATATCTTCTCTGGAGAAATGTCTATTCAAGTGTTTAGCGCATTTTCCAACCCTGGTTATTTGGTTTTGTTGTTGTTGAGTTGTAGGAGATCTTTTTTTTTTGTTTTTGTAGGAGATCTTTATATATTCTGGACCTTAACCCCTCATCCTATACAGATAGTCCTTGGGTTACGTCAGACTCGACGAATGTCATTTGTGGTTACATCACCATCTCATAAAAATTTTTATATATTTATTTATATATTTAAGAAGTTCCGTCATTTCAACGTATGTACATATATGCTTTATGTTTTTTATTATTTATTTAGCACAGGTAAAGATCAGGAATTGTTATCTTTCTTTTAATTTTTTTTTTTACTGTTTTACTTCATTACTGCTGTGTATGTGCTCCATGTGAGCGACGTAGGTGCTTATGTAGGTGGGTTCCGACTTACAGCGAAAATCGCGTTACGTCACGCTGTAGGAACGCATCTCCGATGTAACCCGAGAACCTACTGTATATGATTTGCAAAGTATTTTCTCCCATTCCACAGGCCACCTTTCACTCTGTTGATTGTGTCCTTTGATGAACAGTTTTTCATTTTTATAAAGTCCAGTTTATTAGGTTATTTTTTTGCATGTGTTCTTAGTGTCATATTCAAGAAGTCATTGCCAAATCCAATGTGATCAAGCTTCCCCCTATATCTTCTTCTGGGTTTTATAGTTTTAGTCCCACCTTTAGAATTAAATCCATTTTGAATTAATTCTTGTTTACAGTGTAAGACAATGGTCCACTTCATTCATTTGCATGTGGATAAAGTTGTTCACCACCATTTGTTGAAAAGACTGTCCTTTTCCCATTGAATGGCCTTGGTTCCTTTATTGAAACCATTTGATCACATAATGGAGGTTTTATTTCTGGGTCCCCATTGTATTATTACATGGACTATATGTCTGACTTTATGCCAGTGACACACTGTTTTGGTTACTATAACTCTTTAGTCGGTTTTGAAATCAGGAAGTATGAGACTTCCAATTTTATCCTTCTTTTTAAAGAAAGATTGTTGCAACCAGTTGGGGACCCTTAAAATTCTATATGAATTCTAGGAAGGATTTTTCTATTTCTGCCAAAAAAAAAAAGTCATTGGGTTTTGATTGGGATTACATCTAATATGTAGGTAGTTGTGGGGGAGGGGTCTTCCAATTCATGAACATGGATGTCTTTCCATTTATTTGTTTCCTCTCAAATATGTTTGGTAGTTTTCCATGTATACGGTACATCTCCCATGTATTGGTTAAGTTTATTCCTAAGTATTTTATTATTTCTAATGCTATTGTAAATGGAACTGTTTTCTTGATTTCATTTTGGGATTGTTCATTATTGTTGTAAAGAAATAGAAATGATGCTGAGTGTTGATGTTTGTCTCCCGCAACTTCACTGAATTCATTTGTTCTAACAGGTCTTTTTTCCCCCTATATGTGGAATATTTAGGGTTTTCTACATCTAAAATTATGTCATCTGTTAAAAGACGTAATTTTTCTTCTTCCTTCCCAATTTTTATGCCTTTTATTCCATCTTCTTGTCTGATTGCTCCAGCCAAACTTCCAGTACTGTAGTGAGCAGGAATGGTGAAAGCAGTATCTTTGTCTTGTTCATGACCTTAGTAATGTTTTCGGAGTTTCTCCACAGAGAGTTGTGTGGCTGTGAGCTTTCATGTATGGCTTTAGCATATCAAATAATTTTCTTCTATTCCTACAGTCTCTGCCTTTTGTTAAAACCTCTTCTCTCTAGAGATGTCCTTCATGGCAATATCCAATCACAGACCAGGAAGTAAAGTCTTGTTCAGATTGAGAAATAAATCCTTTAGATGGAACCTCTCCAGGTCCAAAGTCATGAAAACTGGGTTGGGCTGTTTTTATTGCCTAATAAATTATTTAACAAGAGGTAAATGCCTTTCCACTTTCTGTAAAGTTTCCCTGACCCCAGAAATGGACAGAGGTGGCAAACCTCCCTTCCCCAACATGCATGAAGTTTACATGAGGAGCAGGAGCTGATCTTCTTTGAAATCAAAGAAAGTTCTAGAAAAGGGTCAAAGTGTTTATAAAAATAAATTCCACAGGAGAATAAGGTTGCAGGACACATGGGTTGAGGTTGCAGGACACAGCCTGACCCTGCATGCTGACTGGCCCTTGCTTGCCCTGCTCAGAAAAAATTCCACCTGAGAATGAGGTTGTAGGAGACATGAGCTGAAAAGGTGTTCCTGGTGTTGATATAAAGATGTCCATGGGGACAGGTCAGGCATCATCCTGGGGTGATCTGGGGTCAGAGAAGAGGTGCAGCCCCCTCTTACACATTGTCACCTGAACAAAGATCCTCACCGTGCAGAGGTCAGAGTCCTCCTCTGGTGACCTTTACAGAGATCACTGTGGACTGTGAGTGGCTGACATCTCTGAGGAAGGAGCCCACTCTCAGTCAGTCACCTCCTCTGTTTCTCCACAGAGCCCGTGGGGAAGCCCTCCATCCGAGCCAGCAATGCCACAGTCACAGAGCATAAGGACGCCGTGGTCCTGACCTGCCTCACCAATGACAGGGGGATCTCCATCCGGTGGCTCTTCAAGAACCAGAGTCTCCTGCTCACGGCCAGGATGAAGCTGTCCCGGGACAACAGTGTCCTCACCATAGACCCCGTCAGGAGGGAGGACGCTGGGGGTTATCAGTGTGAGGTCTTCAACCCCGTCAGTTCCAGCAAAAGTGAGCCCCTCAGGCTGGATGTGTATTATGGGTAACCCTCCTCCCCTCCTCTATGCTATTAAGTTCTGAATAATTTTTTTTCTTTTTAAAAAATATATTTTTATTGATTTCAGGGAGGAAGGGAGAGGGATAGAGAGATAGAAACATCAACAATGAGAGAGAATCACTGATCGGCTGCCTCCTGCACACCCCACACTGGGGATTGAGCCCCCAACCTGGGCATGTGTCCTGACTGGGAATTGAACTGTGATCTCCTGGTTCATAGGTTGATGCTCAACTACTGATAAATTTTTTCTTATCTGAAAATTATGGCCATGATGCACTTTCTAAATAGGTTCCTTGTGAATAGTCAATAACAAAGGTGGAAAGTCCTTAGAAGACTTGCATTGAGTCAATAAATGCTTAAAACTGTGAACTGATATTGTCAGTATTGTTGAGTCAAGATCACATTCCACACCAGAAACCAGCTCTGGTTGGTCTCAGTTGCACCATCTCCACAGTGGAGGCAACACCGAGTTCCTCAGAGGATGGGCAGTGGCTGTGAAATGACCAGTGGAAGCATGTGATTAGCTCACAGGAATCTGAGCTCTGTCCCTCTTGCATGGGGTCATGTGGATGGTGCCTGGACTCTGACATGGACAATGGGAATAGACAGGAGGTAAGATCGAGATGAAATGTACTCAACACAAAGCAGTTTGTCCACATCATCCTTCTCAGAGGTGGGAGAAGGAATCAGAGAGCCTAGGTCTCACGCTGAGACCCTGGGACAAGGTGAAGCCTGGAGTGAAGGAACAGTCTCCAGGCAGGTTCCACTCTCATCTACAGACCCCACCACACATCAGCCTACCTGAAAGGTGCCTCCTAAATAGCAATGTGTGAATCAGGGACACGGTTCTTCTGTAGGGACAGGGACCACCTGGGCTGAGACTCAACGATAGAGGAACTCATGCAGGACAAGATCTCTCTCCACATGAGGTTTACCATGACCACAAAAAGATGCATCCCAGCACATCTGCTCAAAGGGGATAGCAGCCCAGGCGGACTCATGCTAGAGGTGAACCCTAAAGTCATAGGCCATCTCACACCCTCCATGCCTGTTCCAGCTCCTTCAGACTTTGCTCTCCTGGGCAGCAACCCCAATCCTCAGTCTCTAGGGAATGGCTTTCACCTCACTAAGCAACAGGGATCCTGGACACCCAGACATTCCTGCAGAGATTGGCCTGTGGGGGGCTGTTTCTCTCTTTTCCATGTCCCACATGGAAAAGGAAACAGTCCATTTGCTGAGTGGAGGAGCTGGGGATTAAGAAATTAAAGAAAGACCAAGACGCAGAAATAGATTTTAAGCTGGGGCCAGGTGGGCGCCATCCTCTCTGATGGAGAGGCGGCAAAAGGCGGGCTGAGCCACACAGCAGATTTATTTTAAAGGCCTAGATTTACATATCTAGTTCCGCCCCTGCCTGATTAACATGTCCAGCCTTATTGGGGAAGCATGTTCCCAGGGCGTGGCTCTGGCTATGCTCTGAGTTCAGCTGACAATAATTATAAGAAAATGCCTAGGTGCCTCCCAGGCGGCCCTCTACATTGGCCATGTGGGCGCTTGTCCTTGTCTTTCCTCTGAACCTCTCAGGGCCCAGGAGGCTCTCCTTCTAGGCTCTTTCTTTATTCAGGGGCTCAGGGAACTGCACATCCCTGAACCCCACTTGGAAGGAAGCTGCCCCTACCCTCTTTCTGACTCCATGTGGACAGCTGCACACAGGTGAGTAAAGATTGCACAACTTCAGGAGGCACCCTAAGCTAGAATAGAACATCCAGTGCCTATGGGACTCACCAGTGGTACTGACCTCTCTACTCCCCAGGCCTCAGCTCTTCTCACAACTCAGTCATCCTAGTGAGCTCCATCCCCTCTGTCCACACCTGCCTGCAGGGTATAACTGGCCCTCCTCAGCATTGCCAGTCTGAGCACAGGGTGGGTCCCTGTCCACTGTGGAAACCTAAGGGGCCTCATCCAGAAAAGGGACAGGGCTGAGTTCCCCTGGAGAGCAGCACCCAATGTTCCCATCCAGGCAGGTGACTGGTGACTGAGCTCTCACTCAAGCCTCCCCAGAGAGGACCAGCAACCCAACCACATCTCTAAGGAGGAGTCTCGGGGAGGCAGCAGGAGGTTGGGAGGTTCTGATGTAGGGAAGTGGCTGTGGAAGGTGCTCAGTAGGATGGAGAAAAGCCTGGGAACAGTGCAGGGCCTGGTGTGAGGAATGGACAGAAGCAAAGAGAGGGGTGAGGGAGGTCAGAGAAAGCTGCCCCCTCAATCTCAAAGGTGATGGGGACAGTGAGCTCTGAGGGAAGTGGCTGCATGAGATCCATCTGGGGTCCTGACAGGTCTCCCCTCCCAGAGTATGTCTTGAGGACACTGGCAAGGGGAGGTGACTTTGCCCCAGCCTGGCCCTGCATGCTGACTTGTCCCTGCCCGACCTGCTCAGGTCACTCTCTATGTCCCTCTCCAGCCATGGCATGGCCGGGTCCCTCTATGACTTAAGTTTGGAGGAGCTGAGTCCCTGAGGCACGTATCTGACACATTCATCAGAAAGTGTTCTTCACCAAAAAAAAACCCCAAACAGCCCAATTTAAAAATGGGCAAAGGACCTGAATAGATACTACTCCAGAGAGGACATACAGATGGTCAATCAATATATGAAAAAATGCTCAACGTTACTAATCATCAGAGAGATGCAAATTAAAACCACAATGAGATATTTCTTCACACCTGTCAGAATGACTATATCAATAAGTCAACAACCAACAAGTGTTGGTGAGAACATGGAGAAAAGGGAAACCTGTGTACTGTTGGTGGGAATACAGATTGGCGCAGTCACTGTGGGAAACAGTATAAAGGTCCCTCAAAAGTTAAAAATGGAACTGCTGTTTAGCCCACTAATTCCACTTCTGGGAATGTATCCAAAGAAACCCAAAACACTAATTCGAAAGAATTTATGCAACCCTATGTTCCTTGCAGCATTATTTACAATAGCCAAGATTTGGAAGCAGTCCAAGTGCCCATCAATAGATGAATGGATAAAAAAGCTGTGGTACAGCCCAGCTGGTGTGGCTCAGTGGTTGCTTGTCAATTCCAGGTCAGAGCATATGCCTGGATTGTGGGCTCAATACCCAGTGTGAGGCGTGCAGGAGGCAGCAGAAGCCAATAAATGATTCTCTCCCATCATTGATATTTCTAAAAAGCTGTGGTACATTTACAATGAAATACTACTCAGCTATTAAAAATGAAATACTACTCAGCTATTTTACAATAGCATGGATGGACCTGGAGATTATATGTTAAGTGAAATAAGCCACCAGAGAAAGACAAATTCCACTTATCTATGGAATCTAATGAACAAAAAACCCTCCAAACAAAACAGAAACAGACTCATAGATACAGAGAAAGGGGACTGAGGGCTGGGTGAAAAAGATGCAGAGATTAAGCAAAACAACAACAACAAAAATCTCACCCCAAAACAAACATTTACAGACATCAGTATGATGATTATTACCAAAGGGAAAGATGGGTAGGGGAAGGCAGAAGAGGGTAAAGGGGGGATAAATGGTGACAGAAAGAAACTTGACTTTGGCTGGTGAATGCACAATACAATCTATATCCTATATAATAAAGAGGTGATATGCAAATTGACCATCACTCCAACACACAAATGGCCACCCCATGTGGTCAAATATGGCTGCCCCAATGTGGACACAAGATGGCCACCACAAGATGGCTGGCAGGGGCAGGCAGTTGGCGGGGGGTACCAGCCTTGTAGGAGAGGGCAGTTAGGGAGACCAGGCCTGCAGGGGAGGGCAGTTGGGGGTGATCAGGCCTGCAGTGGAGGGCAGTTGGGGGGACCAGGCCTGCAGGGGAGGGCAGTTAGGGGTGACCAGGCTGGCAGGGGAGGGCAGTTGGGGGCAATTGGGCCAGCAGGGGAGCAGTTAGGTGTCGATCAGTCTGTTAGGCAGAAGAAGTTAGGGGCTATCAGGCAGGCAGGCAGGTGAGTGGTTGGGAGCCAGCAGTCCTGGATTGTGAGAGGGATGTCCGACTGCCCGTTTAGGACCGATCACACCGGGGTCCCAGATTGGAGAGGGTGCAGGCTGGGCTGAGGGACACCCCTCCCCCCATGCATGAATTTTATGCACCAGGCCTAGCCTATCTAATAAAAGAGAAACATGCAAATTGACCATAACCCCAACACCCTTCCCATTGGTTAATCAGCAGGATATATGCAAATTAACTGCCAACCAAGATGGCAGCTGGCAGCCAGGCAGCTGAAGTGAATAGGAGGCTTGCTTGCTTCAGTGACGGAGGAAGCCAAGGTTCCCCACCTGCCACTACCGGCCTCTGAGCTGCAACTCTAAGAAACAATGTTGCAAATATAGAAGCTAAACATTCCCCAGAAACCTGCTTTCAGCCAGCCGGGCTTCAGCCAGCAGGATCGCAACAGTGTTTCAATTATAGAACCCAAACAAACCCAGATCCCTGCTTTCAGCAGCAGAGGTCTCAGAGCTGGAGCCAAGCCTCAGAGCTAAAGCCAGCTCTCAGCTCCAGTGACAGCCATAGAAGGTAAATAAATCCCAGAATTAAAAAAAAAGAAAAAAAGGAGAGGTTGGGAGCCTCAGTTGCCCGCCACCCTGAAAACAGCCATCATCCCCTCGCCCAGACTGGCCAGGCACCCCAGTGGGGACCCCCACCCTGAAGCAACAAGATGGCGGCTAATTTGCATAGGGGTGGGTGTGTCATTCTCATGTAGAAGGCAAAAAGGTAAGTCATTCCTTCTACAACATGAGCCTTTGTTAAATAGATATAGAAGATCTAACCATGAATCCTTACATTTAAAATAAATATTTGTTGAATGGCTCTCAAATCCACTTACTTTGAGATTTACTGGTATGCAGAGGTACATCACACAAATACACGCATGCACACACACACACACACATCACTCAGGGAAACTTCATGGTCATGGACAGCACAAGGCAGTCAACAGGAGCAAACAGAGTGAATGGCACACATGATTGGCTGGGACAGACAGCTCAGAATCTGCTCTGAGGGCTGAGATGGGGGTGAGAAGGGGCAGGGCAGGCAGGGGGTGGGGAGGAGACCAGGGAGCTGGACACT